CAAAGAGGACAAACTAAGTTGATATCTTTGATAGAGGCTATGCATATTTTAGTCCATGTACGGGAAGCAGTTTCCAAAAACACAGTTTGAAATTGTTTTAGAAAATATTTAGAAGCCACAGAGGAAGTGCAAGCCATTTCTAATATTTCAGATATCAGTGAGGGAAATTATAAGGAAGATTTCTTTTTAGAATACGTTGTAACTTATGATAATGCTGAGAAAGCATGTGAAAACACTGACTATGATAGAAAGTGTTAAAAGAGCTGCAGAAAATGAAAGCAAAAGTCATATGAAAGAAAGTGACTACAAGCCAACCTCAGTTGAATCTAGAAAACCACTGCAAACTCTTAAGAACTCTTGAACTGAAAGGTGGAGATCAGAAAAGCTACCAGCAGTTTTACGAACTTGAAAATGTAATTGAAAGACTTTTGACGAATAATACAAACTAATCATGGGTACAGCACTTCTTTGTAAAATTTCATCAAGTAATTAACTGTAAATTTTTTTCAAAAAAACTTTTTAATAAATTTTCCAAATAATTTAATTTTAGCCTTGATTTGTAATATAAAATTTAGGTATTAATTATTATATTAATTGTTAGCTAGTATCTTACTAAATAAGTTCAAAGTTGATACTGTAACTTGCAATATTGAAATTGCCATTTATATAAACTCAAATATGTTTGGAATGGAAGTGATTTTAATAACTGGTGGATTCTGCATTAAAAAAGGGGAGATATATGTGAGGAATGTTGTGCACACGAACACATACACATTCTTAACAAAATAATAAAGAAAAATATATAAGATGCACAGCTATCAATTCAATCACACTTAAAATGCTTCACTTTCTATTACCATATTTGACGGCATATAAGACGCACTTTTTTTCCTAAATTTGGTCTCAAAAAAGTTACCTGCGTCTTAAACGTGAAGGTAATTGCATTCAATAATTTGTTTATTTGGCTTTTATGAAATGTGAGAACTAAAAGAAACCACGCTATTGAAACTTTTTTTCCTTGTGTGTGGCCATCTAAATAAGGGTGCATCTTATATGCCGTCAAATACGTTAAATACTTGGGCCACTAATATGCAATTGCTCTTCAGATAGAAGTCCTTAGAAGGATATATGCAATATGGTTTGTAACTCCACTAGCTTGCATCTTAAATGTTTTGCCTCATTGGGATATAACAATTCCAAACCCCACTTTTGGTATAATCAGTATTTATTTTAGGATGGTAAGTCAAGCAAATACACAGTTCAACACAAGTTGAATCTGTTTTAAAAACTGTTGCACTGCTTCACTCAGACATGGAATCTCTCACTGCACAAACTAAAATAATCATAAAGCCATTCTGCAACAGTTTTCTTTTTAATTAATCCAGTAAACATGGGAAAGCATTCTTTGTAGCTCTTACAGCTGTCATAAATTAATAATGAAGTGTATATTCAAGATCAGATATTGTCATCTGCAAAGCATATTTACTAAACATGTCAGATTTCAACAAAAGTCATTTTTAATATACACTCTTTTGCAAAAAAAATCGATGCACCAAGAAGGACTTTTGTGATCGTGATGAAATTGGTATGCAAAAACATCTTGATAGAACATGCAAATGATCAGTATTTAAATACTATGATGTAGAGAATGTAAATATTGTAAAAACAGATTAATTCCCATATTTAAGCAAGTTAGTCTTATGGGAGTCAAAACTTACTTTTTATTTTTTAAAGCAATAAATGTACACTTTTCATAAATATAACTATAGGGATAACAGGACAGTACAGTACATCTTATTTTTTTTAAATTGCAAAATCCTGAATATTTACATAACTTAAAACATTTTGTAATCAGAAATACACGGTGCGGTAGTGAAATGGATGATTCTGAAACCTCCACCAGTCATACAAATTTATTCACAGCGATATAAAAGAAATACAACATGAATTCACAATACTTGCAATTTATGATGAATATTTCTGAACATATTTATGATGAATATTTCTGAACAACTTGCACAGGCATGTCACAGTAGAAAATGCCCATCACTTGAAAATAACATAACGTATGTGGCTCCCATTTTCCTTCACACATATTCCAAGTGTTTTACAAAAGTTAGACATCACATCTTGCAGGACTGGAACTAGAATATGCTTAACTTCCTCCCGAATTTGATCCTTCAGTGAAAGATCAGGGGATCTTGTAGGCTAGCAAATGTGACCAGGAAAGATGTTCTGTAGCACGTTAATAGAAATCCACAAGGGAAGAATGTGTTTGCTGTTACAGGAAGATCAACACACTGTGGCACTAGGCAATGGTTCAAAATGTGAGCATGTGTTCTGTATTCACAGTAACAGCACTGCCATGATCCATCTTAAAAAAAAATCAGCCCCGATGATTCCAAATGATGATAAGTTACCATACACTACCACTGACTGTGAAGTGGCTTTTTATGAAGCATTTCAGGATTTTCACATGATCAGTATCGAAAGTTTTACTTGTTAACAAAGCCTGACAGATAACATTGACCTCATCGTAGATGTTCAGACTGTTACACAGGCCTGGGTTGTCCTTCATGAGTTCCAACAATTCCTGGCAAAAGCGTAGTCTCTTTGGAAGTTCGTCCACATTCAGTTTTTGCAATATCTACATTTTGTATGGGTATTCCAGTTTCTTGTACAATATTTGCCATACACTGTGATCCGATATGCAAAGCTGCAGGGCCTGCTTGCATACAGAACGGCTGAAGGCTTCTTCCACTCTTGCAACATTCTCTGGTGTGTATACACGTTTTGCACTTCCACACCTCTTTTTCACCATATCACCCATTTCCTCAAAGTTTTGTACCCACAATTTAATAACATGCACCAACAAGACTGGAGCATGATGTACAAGATTGTAATGAAAACGAAATACACGCTGCGAGGCCACACAGCTGTCTTTGTTTTTTTAAGACACCTTCACAGTAATAGCATGTTGTTCACCGGTCCATGACACCATTTCGACTGAACAAAGATATCAGGGTCAATGGCAAAGGTTTGTAGTCCAGATGGCATCACTCCCATTTTCTGATTCCTAATATAACTTGCTATTTCCAGGGTTTCAAAATCGCCCGTTGTACTGCCGCACCCTGTATATGTCTATATTGAATGGTTGTGAGAATGGCCTTATAATGTATTTTGTGATACTCAGTCCCTTTAATAAATGGTTAAAAATATCCAACATTATGACTCGATAAACAACAAAATTTCGATTGAAAAAATAAATCATTTACTGACATATGACATTATAATAAATATTTTTAGCTTCCTAATCTTCCCACTTCGTATCTTGGAACTACTTAGAAGCTTTCAGTAAACCTTAGGTAAAAATTATGGTATTTTTCAATTATCCGCACCCCCACTGCTCTCCAAGGTCGCAAACTCATTGCCAACTTCAGAGAACATTTGTGAATTCATTAGACACTAATTTTTTGCCAAGCCAATGCACAAGAAGCAGCAGGAATTTTGAAAAATGGCATAGCAGTTAGAATTTCATACAACAGCAATCAATCAATCAAATTTTACAAAGAAACATCAGTAATAAAAGAAAAAAACTCTCAAATCCTTTTCTGCACTGTTGATCTCCCCATGTAAATAGCAATATGTTCTTTCTAAAAACAAAATCAACAGAATTACAACTTCAGCACTATACACTGGCCAAAACAGATATGAGCTATGCAAATATTTGGGTTGCTACATAAACACTTTTGGGCAACATCCATGGGTTAATATAACTATTTTGGTAACAGTACTTTGCCTCAAGAATACCTTTTCATGAACTTTTAGTAGGCCTGCAGTACCAAAATTACTTTGGAATTTCAAGTTTCTCATATTCATTCATTTAAAATCATATAAACTCAAAATATAATTTAAGAAATACAATGAGGACTTTTTCACGGGAATTTTTAATTTTTTGATAGTACATCAAGATCAAACATCAATAGTTTTTAATCATTTCCCTGCTGAAAGCACAGAAATATAGGTACTCTTTGATTAACCTCCCAACCTTGAGAAAAATCACTGACAATGATGGTAAATAAGAATTTTACGATAACGTATTTATATAGCAACCCACAAATGTTTGTGTGTGCATTACACAAGTGCAAAATTCGGCTTTGGAAATTTGACGGTCATCTCTGTGGCAACCGCTTATCAACTGTTCTTAGGTGACTGTTGTAATAGCTTTTTCCATATCTGTGCAATTCTCTGATCCTTATTTAATGATAATAGCTTTTTCTGAATTTGTGCAATTATATATTTTTTTTAATTTAAAAAGGTTGATGTGTACATGGAAGAAGAGCAGAAAAGTGGTTTATCAACTGTTCTTCAGTTACTGCGTAGCTTTTTCCAAATTTGTGCTGTCTCGGACGTTTTTTAGTGATAATAGCTTTTTCGAAATTTGTGCAATTCCCACACTTTCTTTTAAGTTAAAACAGGCCGATGTGTACATGGCAGATGAGAGAGCCATTGTGGCGGTGGGGAGTAAATGTTTTATTACAGATGTTTCTTGCATTTTTAATTAATCAGTTGTTGTTTTACACCACCTTTTTTTTTTTTAATGGCTACTGTTATTCATGCCTGAGGTTCACAAAAAATTGGTACACAACAACTGGCAACTTTGAAAGAGCACTGGGTGGATAATCTAAGAGTACCAAAACTATGTTCTGAAAAATTGTCCGTCTAACATGAAGATTTCTCATTTTTTCCCCCCATTTGGACAAAATACTAAAATTCTATGAGGACAGTCAACAAAAAGAATAGTATGGAATTGAATAGAGTTAGCTTTAACCTGTTTTGTACCACAACTATATATATTTAGTACTGAATGCTACAAAGACATATTTTTTTTTTTTTTTAAATTTTTAGAAAATAAAAATATAATTCACAGGTTACAATAATGCAGTAAGCTATGATTGTATAACAAACATGCTTTTAAACAATAAAATGAAGAAAGATACGTATATAATTCCATGTAACGGGTCTTGGACATATCCTGATGTTTATTCATATAAACCTGCTCAATGCCATCTTTCAAATCACCCCATATTTGATCTAAATCAATCTGCTTTAGACCATGTGTGCTTTGAGACTTTGGTGTCAAACCTGATGGACCTGGTGATGCCATTTTCAGAATTCTAAAAATTAAAATAATAAATAAAACCTTTAAAAAATCATATTCCAACATACTTTCATATTTTTATATACTTTTTGGGGGGAAGGGGTACGGAAACAAAATTTCTAAAATAGAAAAATAGTTTCCAGATACGATAAATTTTAATATCATTTACAATTTTTCATGCAAGCAACTTCTATGTAAAAACAAATATAAATCTTCAAAAAAAAATTACAATTAGGTATACAAGAAAATACTGAAAATTCAGATAATAAGCAAATTTTACTAAATCATAATTTTAAAAGATTACAATTGTAACGTCAAGATAGCACAGTCAAAGATTGTGTTTCATGAACTCTCACACAGACAAAAGAGCTGCTCCTGCTAAAAATTAGTTCCGACTTATCCAGAAACATTTGACTGCCTGAGTGAATAAGAATAAAAACATGTAGTACAATCGTACTTAAAAATTTGAGAATTTAAGTTTGGACAACTTTCACTGCAAGCTCAACGATTTTTGCATTTTGCAATTTATTTTTTATGCTGAAGAAGTTCAACATTTAAAGAATTCAATATGGTGTCATTCTTCATAAAAATATGTTTGATTAAGCCAGCTTTTTAATTGCCTTGGGGCACAGGAGTTCATGGTCAGGAAAAAGCAAAATCCTTCCCCAGTCAAGCAGACTTATTAAGGACATCAAATGCTTCCCTAGGCTAATGGTCTCAAATTTGCAGTCCCCCAAGCAATTTATATGGCCTTAAATACATTTTAGTTATGTAATTGTTGTAAATACAGTGCCAAAAGTTTACAGATGGATAAGGTTATGGAATCAATAACTAAAACAGTAAACTTTGTCAGTGGACAAGCTCTGAATCATCAAGTTTGTTGCAGTGCTTGAAAGTGAGACCAGAGAAATTATTTATTATAAAGAGGTCAGGAAGTTACATCAAGGAGCTGTATTAAAACAGCTTTTTGGTTTAATAAATGAAATCAAAATATTCATAGCACAACTAAATAAAACCATCACTGGATGAGCTATATCATACACAGTCGAATGATTTAGCATTTCTTGCTGACTTAAACTGACAAGGACATGTATATGTGTGTATTGAAACTTTTAAAGTTAAATCACAATAATGGGAAACACCATTTGAATTAAAATATTTTGCACATTTCCTACATCTCAGATCCCTGCCTATTATTTCAAAAGAAAAATCTCAAAAACACAGATATTAAGCAATTATTATGACAAGAATCTGAAGAAAGATGTATTAATTTTAATAATTTGTAGTCTAATTTTACATTATTTTTATTACGGATAAAATGAACTTGAATAAATGCACCAGAAAATCGACAGACAGCGCTGATTAATTTACCGGTGTGATATAAATCTTATTCAAGAATTGAAGATACAAATTTGATAAACCGTATAAGTGGCCCAACTACAAATATATGTTCAAAAATATTAATCTTGATATTTTTAAGTATATAAGCATGCATCTCAAAATGCGCACATAGAATTAAAATAGCAATACATATTGGAAGAAAAAGAGTTTTTATGTACAAATTAGGAGTACAAAAGTAAAAATTAGGAGTCATTTTGGAATTGTATTTTAAAAAAAATAACTGAATATTCATGGTCTTTGGAGGAAATTTATGGAGTTTGGTGCTAAACCCTTGACCGACTAGAGTGGTAACTTTTACTTGTACTTGTCAAAAGATAAACGTCAGTTACAAATTTTTGCAATAAGAATAATTGCATAGTTTGGAAGCACATTTATAAGTCAACAGTGTTTTGTAAAGCGGAAAGTTAATAAGTCTGAGAAATGAAAATAATTGCTAATAATTTTTCTTCAAGGCTACAAACTTTATCAGAATTTACATGTCATCAAGTGTCAAAAGTTTATAACTGTGTACATAAAATTCATATATATTTTTTCTGCATGCGTTGGAAAAAAATTTAACAAATAAAAGAAAGAGGATTATCGTTATTTATTTTCACATTCTCGGTTCGAAAATGTTTTCTGGAAATTGGGAAAGTTACAGCAAAATTTGTTTATTTTTAGTTGAAGTAAGTTATTAGTGGTAGATTCAACATATTAGAATTATTTGCAATGAAAGCCAATTTGGAAAGTTAACATTTAGCTGTCAATATGTTTGAACTGCAAAGCATAAATGAGAAATTTCTTGCAGGTACCAACATTTAGATTTCAGACAAAGAAAAACAATACATCTGAATTTTTTCTTTTGTGTTGTTATTTTTGTTATCTACTCTTTATTATGTTTTTATAAATATCTGTAAAGGATCAGGCACCTTAAAAAATGAAAAAAAAAAAAAGAATTTAACTGAAAGAACTTTAAAATTTTAGCTATACAGATACAAAAAAAAAATTTTAGAAACAAAAATTACAGAGAAAAACACTGTAGAAAATATAATTGAATATTACTGAAATAAATTTTCAATTAAACTGAGGAGAATTAAATTTCAAGAATATTACTTCCAAGCATTTTATAACCTTGCTTGCAACACACCACACATATGCATCACATGTAACATCAAGTTAAAAAGTGGTGATAACTATACATTAGGGTTATATATGGCACAAATTCACATATTTGTGGCATATATAACCCTAATTTACCTTAGTTTGCTTAAGGTTTTGAAGATATAAAAAAATATTCAAGTAACTTTACCCTTCCTCAATACATTAAGAGCTCCTCAAAATTTTAAAATGAATTTGCCCACATAAGGAATGCTTTCATCTTATTAACAAAGACAAATCATTGCAAACCACCAACAAAGATTATAAAAAACCCTCTCCTCTCTAACTTTTCAACTTAATGCTACATTAATTTTAAAAAAACTGAACAATCAAAATGAAGCAAACAAGAATTGACATTCAGTGATCTAGTATTTCACTAAGTGCAGCACATTTACCTTCTCTAATTATTTATGGATGATTTGAAACCTAAAAGTAGGAGAGGCAACAATAAAAACATGCGAGATTCAAGTCGCAGGGAAGTAAAAATGAAAATATTTTATTACATATTGTAATGTTAATATTACTATGTATTCTTAGTGGAACGTACATTTATTTTAAAGAAATAATATTATTGTGACATTTATCTGGAATTTATCCATGACTACTTTTCATTTGTTATGTTGTTATTGTAACTATGTTATTCAAAAATTAAATTCTTTGCATAATTTTCCTCTCTCAATTTTCAGACAATAAAATTGGTAAAAAAAAAAAAAAAAAAAAAAGGAGAATATGCAAAGAAATATGGTGCGTGGGTGTTCGGCGATTCCGGATTTGGGATTCCTCCGGATATTACATCATCAGTTTAAATCTAGTAAAATGGCATTTAGAGATTATAAAATTAAAAAATATGAAATCGCGATTTATGAAATAATGAAGTATTTATGATCTAAAGGGTATCAAAATTTACAAAAAAATCTTAATATTTATTTGTTTACCTTGTTAAACATTTCTTTCAATGTAAGTTGTTTACGTTGCTTCGTTTTTTGTGCCAATACTTTCTCTTTAATTATATAAGCAGATATAAATTCTTGTTCATTTACAAAGTTCCACTGTTCAAGTCCTGTAACTGCTGTTTTGAAAATTCCGACTAACTTGTCAATCGAAATTTTCCCGCTTTCAGTAACTTCTCTGTCACTTTTTTCACTATCGGTAGTGTTATTTTCTGGATCTAGAACCATACTACAGATTTTGGCATTCATTAATTGATTGATGATTGAGAAGCACTGTCATCACAATGAAAAACTTCTTTTATATCATCTTCATTTATTACTGCTTCTCCACATTTCTTTACAAAATCCGTTAATTGGAAAATTTTAATTTTGTTTTGCAATATCCGAAAGCCTTTAAAATTAGCGGCTAACATCATCATATTTAGCTATCCTTCACTATACATATTTGGCTATGTATCATGAGCTTGGCACCTAACGACAAGTTGCTCCATTAAATTTTATCTTGTTTCTATCACGCACTGAGACAATTAAGCCTGAATTGTATTAGTTTAGTTTTTTTATTATACTTAATTTCTATTAAGAAATAATAATAATAAATATTATACTTAATATCTATTATTACTATTTCTTGCACACTTATCAGAGTTCTAAATAAATTCCCACATATACTTAAGTTTTATTGAGGGCCAGTGCTAGATATCTTACCTTTGATGCAATCTCTGTGGTCCTAAATTCTGCGACTCTGTGCGGCGATATGAGCCCTGAGCTGGTTCTGGGTTTATGTGAATAACAAATCAGTTAGTCTTAATTCAAATAGCCCTAAATGTAATCTTTGGGTCTGTGAGTATCTATCAACAAAATCTATTTTTAGCATACAGAAAGAAATTTTTGGTAAATTTTTCCTTGTCAACATATTTTAGCACATTTATTAAATGTGTAATCATCGTCAAGCGTAATGTCAACAAAAAAGTTTGGCATTACGCTTGGCGATGATTACACATTTAATATTATTCAGTTACTAACATAAAAAAATTGTTTAGGCATCACTGCATGAGTCATTACTCAAGCTGTCATGTTTTGATAAACATGTGGTGATGAAAGGAAAGTATAATAAATAATAATTCACCAAGATGGCATCAGATCAACGATGTATCTATGTGGAATATTTTGGTTTGAGATGTGTGCTAAGCAGATATGCAGCAATGGACCCAAATTACTGATCGTACAAATTTATACTAAAATGATTATTTCTTCAAGGTATTTTATTTAGTGTCAACAACAGGGTATTTTATTTAGTGTCAAAGTGAAATTAAGAATCAGATCTCTCCAGATGTTTTATTATGTGCAGATGGGGAGAATCAAATGCGCATGCTTAAAGAATGCTACGAGAAAAGCGTTGGTGGTGGTTTTGAAGTCCGGATTTTAGATCATTCCATATAATTTCGGACTTTGTACTGTATATATATATCACAAAAACTCACAAGAAGCTGTGTATAAAAATTGCTCATTTGCTTAATGAAAATACATA